TTTTTCTTGTATCTAAATAAAATTTATTATTTATAAATACACCTCTTGTTAAAGCATGTATGATTGATACTCTTATCATTTCGAGAAATGAAAAAGAAGTAGTGGAACAAATCTACAACCTAAAAATAAGAGAAATGATAGAATAAATAAAAAATGGAACAAAAACGTTTTTTTTCTGTATTATGATAATGTCACATCAAATAATTTTTTTATTTTATTTTTTGTCAATCTAACATTATTCTAAAAATAGAATAATGTCCTAGCCTAGTATAGAGCTTACCGCAAGCCCCACGGCACCTAAACCGAAAACAGCCACGGTAGACCCAGCTTGGACGTTGGCAGTATTCCACGCAGCTCCAAGACCTTGACAAGTTTTTCATAATAGGAATTAATTAATTTTACTTGTCCAAAGTCCAAATAATTAAGAGTAATGTTACACAGATTAAATTTTGGAACTAAATTTAGAACTCAAATGACATGATAATTAATTATTTAAATTTTTTATTAGGGCCTAAATGATATGACACCAATCAAAGAAGTTCAAATCAAGTGTCATGTCATTTGAGCTCTAAATTTGTTCTCAAAATTTGATCAGTCTAGCATTACTGAATTAATTAACGAGAAACACACGAGTAGAAATTGCAGAAAGCAAGCAAGTAATTGAATTGAATTGAATGCAGTTGTTGTTACCAGTGGAAACGCCACAACTGAGCAAGGTCATATTCTTGAGTGGAGCTTTTGAATCAATCTTGACGACACAGGCGGAGTCAAGCACGGTGTACTCACTGAAAGTGGAAGTATTGAGGAAATGGAAGATGGGTTCCCCTTCTTTGGTTGAAAACCTACACTTTCCATCGTTTAACATCACGCTCTTGAATGGATTCACACGAAACTTGTCGCAGAGATTAGTTTTTTGGGATTTGCAGTAAGCACAGTCACCGCACTCTCCGTTAAATATGGGAACCACATGATCGCCTTCTTTCATGTCCACCACCCCTTCTCCCACGCTCTCAACCACCCTATATACATAAATATATATATAATTATACAGTATGATCTGGGAAGACAAAGTGGAACTGGAAGGGCATATGCTCCTGGCCAAGCCTGAAGCCAAAATCACAAACCAAACAATGCAGATGGAGATTATTTTTACCCAACAGCTTCGTGGCCAAGAATTCGTGGATATACTTGCTGAGCTTCATTCTACCAACAAAAATCACAACATGGGGAGGGAGGGAGGGACATTAGATAGATGATTTCAGGAAAATTAAATTAGATGCATGATGGGCGTTGACTTGAAGATGAATGATTAATTAAAAATGAAGGAAAAACAATAACCGAACTGTGTGATGCCATGCCATACCTCGCCTTGCCAAGCACTGAGATCAGTATGGCAAATTGAAGTGAAGAGGATCTTGATTCGGACCTCCATTTTTTGAGGGGTATCAACGCGGATTTCCTCCATAACCAAGGGCTGTCCCGGACCCCGTGCCACGGCAGCTTCATCAGCAACACCCATGTTATCTTTTGCATTTTTTCGAGTTTGATCGAATCCAACGACTCTTTTCAAACCTTAATCTTTACCCAAAAAAACAAAAAGAAATAAAAAGGGAAAAAGAAAGATGAATCTCTTACCTTTACAAGTTATGACCTTCCCGGTTGTCTCACTTAACGTGGAAAAGCCGTTAATGCCCATCTCTCTCTCACTCACTGATCTCTCTCTAGATCTCTAGCTTAAATTGGGTAACGAGACATTATCACCAGCTGTACTTACAGGCAAGCGTGGCAATTTTTTTTCCCTTCATTTCCGACGGGTTGCTGGGCCAAGAGGGACATAATTTGATAGTCAAAGATTGATCGACTTAGTGTCTTCTAAGAGCAATTCCAATTGAACCTACTCTTTATTATATTATAGGAGTCATTCATCAAAAGTCAAGTGTGCGTGCACGATCTTGCACAATATAAAAAATGAGAACAGATCTTTTTTTTGATGAACTCGAGTGAGTCAGTTGAGTGGTCAATCACGCTGCTTGGGACAGCCTGTGAGGTCCGGTAATAACCTGGAACGGCAACGGGAGACCCTCGTGAATTGAAGGAATGATCCAGTAAGGCTGGAGAAAGGTTTCTGGAACAAAGGAGAACAAGTTAGAAGGGCGCCGGAGTGTTTTCCGGCTTATCCCCTCCGACGATCAAGTCAGTTTTTGAAAGAGAGAGGAAGAAGAAAGCACTGAGTATATTTCGTAGTAAAGAGTTTTTTGTTGCATACCGTTTTGCCTTTTACGAGGAGTATTTATACCTCAAAAGCTCATGATTGCTGNGAGTAGGCAATCTCAACTGTATCTTCATGCTCATGGGAAATTTGTGGTTAGTTCGCATTGTGCAGCTAGAAGTCTAAGCTGATACGATAATTAGTGCGCAAAGAAAAATGTTGAGCCTAACTCCTCAATTCACTTTGTATGAGTTACCTGCAATTGAAGCAAGTTGTTTCACGAGGAATGCTAGTCCACCACTCCCAGTCCCAGCACCTTCTTTGCGTTAAATGACTTCCTTACATTTCTCATGCATTTCTAGCCTAAATTCAGTGTCTCTTTGCATTTTCATTCATGATTCTACACAAACACCACCTCACCCTATTGTCTAAATTACATGGGTTATAGTAAGTATAAAATTAATCAAAAAAGTCTTACATTTACTTCATATATTTCTAAATTCAATCGAGATTTTTTCACACGTTTTAGGTTATACTGTAATTATTTTATTTCGAATCACCATTTCAATAATAATTATATGTTCTAGTGGGCAACTATTGTATACAAAGTATGTTATGCTCTCCAAGGCATAGTTATCCATATTATACAGTGGTTAACTTTGTACAACTCATCCCAATATAATCTTTGTTAAATTATTTCGAATTATTTATATAACTCATGTTATGCCATTATATTTTTATTAAGGAATATGTTTTTTTATTTAAGTTATAAACTAGTATGTCCTTGTCTGCAAGTTGTACAAATCTCATTATATTATCATTTTCTGTACAGTCACGACTATCACACGTGAGAAAATAAAATATTAGTGGCATGTGCGAGGGTTCAGTCCTATATCAAGATTAGGAGTGTCAAACGTGTCGGGTTAAACAGTTATGTGTCGGGTTAAACGGATGACGGGTAGAAAATATATAAACCCGTACATGACACGTTAATAAACGGGTAAAAAATCTCAACACGAACTCAATCCGTTTAATAAACGGATAACACGACACGACTCATTTAACCCGTTTATTTTAAAAATATTATATAAACTAATTTTAATACTCCACCTTTTTTTATTGTCAATTGCACTTACTTCAAAAAAGAGGAGTTTTTAGTCAAATCTTATAAAAATAAGACTTGAAGGCTTAAAAAAATAAAATAAGAGACCATTGTTTTTTATAGGCAACTCAACCTTTCCCATCTCTCCTCATTTTTCAATGTGGGACAAAAACAAAAGACATTGGTTTGTCTTTGTCTTTGAAGTGCTCCCCATCTCATCTCTTTTGTTTTTGAAATATTATTTTACTTCTTTTTTTTTATTGATTTCTTTACTTCTTTTTTTCTTGTTAATTTTTTAAAATAATTATTAATTTATTATTATATTATTTTTATTTAAACGGATAAACGTGTGATAAATGGTTTGACAGGTCTCATCCGAACACGACCCGTTTATTAAACATGTTTGGCGTGTCAACTCGTTTATCACCTAAACCCGTTAAGATTTCACTCAAACCCGCTTAATTCATATTAATTCGTGTTGGTTAATCGTGTCATGTAAAATTTTGACAGTCCTAATCAAGATGGACTAATTAATCAAAGCCTAAGAAAATAAAACAAGAAATTAAGAAACAAAAAGAATCCAAAAAGACAAAGAAAGGGACGGCATAAAGGTTCTGTCATTCAAGAAACTTCAACCATAAAGAAAGACTCTAATAATAAAAAAATAATTCTAATCCTATTTAACTTTTAATAAAACACACCAAAACAAACTAGAATACGGTCAAAACTCTTAAGCTCATTAAAATTTTAATTATAAATTACTACCAAATAAATAAGGAATAAAACACTTGAAAAATTTGGGTCAAACTCCAATANTGTCCTTGTCTGCAAGTTGTACAAATCTCATTATATTATCATTTTCTGTACAGTCACGACTATCACACGTGAGAAAATAAAATATTAGTGGCATGTGCAAGGGTTCAGTCCTATATCAAGATTAAGAGTGTCAAACGTGTCGGGTTAAACAGTTATCTGTTGGGTTAAATGGGTGACAGGTAGAAAATATATAAACCCGTACATGACACGTTAATAAACGGGTAAAAAATCTCAATACGAACTCAACCCGTTTAATAAACGGATAACACGACACGACTCATTTAACCCGTTTATTTTAAAAATATTATATTAACTAATTTTAATACTCCACCTTTTTTTATTGTCAATTGCACTTACTTCAAAAAAGAGGAGTTTTTAGTCAAATCTTATAAAAATAAGATTTGAATGCTTAAAAAAAAAATTAAGAGACCATTGTTTTTTATAGGCAACTCAACCTTCCCCATCTCTCCTCATTTTTCAACGTGGGACAAAAACAAAAGACATTAGTTTGTCTTTGTCTTTGAAGTGCTCCCCATCTCCTCTCTTTTGTTTTTGAAATATTATTTTACTTCTTTTTTGTTATTGATTTCTTTTTTTCTTGCTAATTTTTTAAAATAATTATTAATTTATTATTCTATTATTTTTATTTAAACGGATAAACGTGTGATAAATGGTTTGACATGTCTCATCCGAACACGACCTGTTTATTAAACATGTTTGGCGTGTCAACTTGTTTATCACCTAAACCCGTTAAGATCTCACTCAAACCCGCTTAATTCATGTTAATTCGTGTTGGTTAATCGTGTCATGTAAAATTTTGACAGTCCTAATCAAGATGGACTAATTAATCAAAGCCTAAGAAAATAAAACAAGAAATTAAGAAACAAAAAGAATCCAAAAAGACAAAGAAAGGGACGGCATAAAGGTTCTGTCATTCAAGAAACTTCAACCATAAAGAAAGACTCTAATAATAAAAAAATAATTCTAATCCTATTTAACTTTTAATAAAACACACCAAAACAAACTAGAATACGGTCAAAACTCTTAAGCTCATTAAAATTTTAATTATAAATTACTATCAAATAAATAAGGAATAAAACACTTGAAAAATTTGGGTCAAACTCCAATGGTCTCCCTTAAACCAAACTCTTCAATCTTGATCATCCCCATCATCCGTTTAAGTTTTATAAATGTAACGGATTTAAGTGACTTGGTAAAAATATTTATAAATTGATCCTCGAATCTTTTTTTGGATTGTCCGCTTGCAGTTCAGGTGTGGGGTCACTTTTATCAGATGTTTGAGATCAGATCTTGGCCGTTTCAGTCTCTTTATGCTTTAATACTTCGTTGGCGGCGTTGTGCTTCTTTTGCAGATCACGTGCAGGTATTGCTACCGTGCTTTATTCTGTGGCACCTATGGAAGGCGCGTAATGCTTATAGGTTCGATGGCGGGGTCTTTCATGTGCCCATTGTGGTTCAGAGGGTTATGGATGATATGTAGTTAATTGGGCTTGCTTTTGGGTTTGCTCCGAGTCAGTTGCGTTGGGATGAGTCAGTTGAGTTTGTGGGTTCTTTTAGGCTCTTGGTTCCTCGGCCTCAGTTTCTTCGTTTGGTTGCTTGGACGCGTCCTGTACCAAGTTGCCTGAAGATCAGTGTTGACGGCTGCTCTAAAGGCAATCCGGGACTGTCTACGGCAAGGGGTGTTATTCAGGACCACCAGGGTCGGGTTCTCAAGGCTTTTTGCTTGTTTCTGGGGTATCAGCCTATTCTGTATGCGGAGATGCAGGTTGTTTGTACTAGGTTGGAGTTGGCCATAGATTTGGGAGCTTCAGAGTTGGTAGAGGAGTTAGATTCAGCTACAGTGGTTTCTTGGATTTATTCTCAGGGTACTGGGTGTTAGGTTTATGCTTACTTCTTTGCTCGGATTTGCCTTCTATGTGTTTCTCTTTCGGCTCGCATCTGCCACGCCTTGCGGGAGCCGAATCAGGCTGCCGACTTCATGGCTAATTGGGCTTACTCTCAGCACCTCAATTAGCGATTTTCTGATTTGTCACCCCTTCCTTTTGGAATTGCTAGCATCCTCATCTTGGATGCTCGATAGACTCCTCACGTTCGTCGGTGAGATTTTGATTTTCTTGTTCTTTGGAGAGTCCCCACTTTGTTTTCATGTTTTTGGTGGTGAGTCACCACCCTGCTTTTGCTTTGATCTTCTCATTTTGTACTTTTGGAGGCTTGGTTCTATATCCTCCTCCCTTTGTCCTTTTAGTCATATATATAGGTAGGGGTTCTTGCCAAATCCCCCACCCACATTGGGTGGCTTTGAATAAAAAAAAAAATCTTCGAATTGACAATACAAAATTTCAATCCCACCATCAATAGCCAAGTCACNTGC